TGCTTCCATTGGACAAAGTTTCATTCCAAACCAGGAAAATGTTGCTGACCTCTTTGTCCAGTATGGGCAGATGAGTGGAGCTGGTTTCATTCAACACACATTAGGTTTCTTCAGGACGTGTTTACATAAAGACCACCTGGGAGCCTATTTCTTCAATCAGTTCAATTGCTCAGTCATGCCCAACTCTTTGCGACCCCATGGACTGCAGCACACCAGGCTTCCCGTCCATCACCAACTCCCGGAGCTTGCTCAAACTCATGTCCATTGAGCAGGTGATGCCATCCAACCATTTCATCCTCTGTTGTCCCCTTCTCCCACCTTCAATCTTTCTCAGAATCAGGGTCTTTTCCAATGAGTCTGTTCTTCGCATCAGATTTTCTCAATAGAGACAGGTTAATGAAACTTTGTATATTCCCTGTCTTGGACATTAATCATAATTGTGCCTGCCATTATTTTTTCAGTCTCTTTTTAATATTGAGGGAAATTTATACAGTATGCAATTCTTATCACCTGCAAAGAGTTGAGCTCCTAGCTTTTTTTGCAGCTGAGATGCAGGCATGTCACATGAACATTACCATATGCACTTGCAGGGGACTCATTCAAGAGATCCAAGCAAAGAGGGTCTGTGATGAGCTTTCATTCTGTAGGTGGCAGCAGAGCTGTCTGGCCTTTGAGGTAGGAGTGTTGGAGACTGAACTTCACTGGGCAGAAATGCATGTGCTATGCTCACAGAGGTGGCAGTGGCAACAAGTTGAAGTACTTGCATTTAGTGCTTAGCCTTGGTGGCAGCAGTGTCAACAGATTTCTCATGGGGCCATTTCTGAAGCAAGGCTTTGCCTGTTATTCTGGGGGAAATAGCCTTGAAATAAGTTTCTCCAGTTCTCTTAATGGTAACATAAACTACCTTCTATTTTAAAATACATTCCTTATATTGCTTGAGCCAGCCAGAATAAACTCAGTTGTTTGAAGCTAAGAAGATTAACCAGTACAATTCCCTTCCAATGCTCTATTCTTAGGAGGAATAGTATGGTTTTATTCACCCAAAAAAAAAAATTTGAACTTTTAATTTCCAAAATCCTTGGTCACAAAAATAAGAGTATCTGTGCACAAGAATTCAAAGATTACAGAGTGTTCCTAAATGTTGGTAGTATCTAGAAAATTGAATTCAGGAAAGGCATTTCATCATTTAAGTATTAATATCATAGCTCTACACTATTATATTTTTCTAGATTAAAGAACACAGGGAGATTCCAGCATGATAGTTTTGAAGAATGACACATATTATGGAAACATCCTGAACATTGTATTGTCACTAATGTGGGCTGTATAAAAAAAATTTTACACAGTGCTTTTCATACACTTTTCATTTCCTTTATACATTTGGAGCACTTATAAATCTTGAGACTGGTGTGCTGCAGTTGGAGCAGTGTCGAGTCCAAGGAAGCACAGGGCACACCTGTGCTCCAGATATGGCTCAGGTCTCTAAGGGAACAAATGGGAGGGATGTGAGGAGAGAGCCCAGCTCCCTGTTATGTCCTCTCTTGGCCTCTCCTCCTCAATCTGATGCAGAGCCCTGGATTGTGGTTCAGGTGCCTTTCAGGGTAATTAGAGATGATCATATCTGATATTAAAAGGCTACTTAAAATGTACTGAAAGCAGGGTCCAAATTTTCACAGCAGATATTGAAAACCTGTTTAGAATTTTACCTTCAAAAACAAAACTAAAAAATTTTAAATTAAATTTTGTATTTAACAAAATTCCATCTATATTTGCAGCTATGTGCCAGTTCTCAAAATACTGAATCAAATGTAGATTTTTCAGAATAATTTTCCCTATTAAAATGCATTTGAGCAAGATACAAACATTCTTCCCTCCACCTTTGACTTTCACAAAATCATAAAGTAGATTACTTTTGAAAAAAATAGCTTAGGGGGTTTTAATTGTTCACATGGGCATCTCTTTAATATTTTTGGCATTAAAAATCATTATTATTTTTTTTTTTTTGTCAGAGACCTTTAGCTTTTTTCCTTCAGTTGTTCACTGGAGTGATTCTTCTAGGTTTTCATTTGTCAAAAAAGTCCATCATTCCTCCATTTCTTTCAACATCGCTTGTTTCCATCTTGTAAGATTCTGGATCTTTTACAAGATCAGTACTGCACCATGGATTAAATGTGCAATGTATTTACATTGCATTTTCAGATGTTTGCAAGGTCGATGAACTGACCAGGTACTAACTAACAAGATGTTGACATATTGGGCCTAGCTAGGGAGTGTCCTAGGTGGCTCAATGGTAAAGAATCCACCTGTTATGCAGGAGACACAGGAGAAGCGTGTTTGATCCCTGGGTCTGGAAGATCCCCTGGAGTAGGAAATGGCAACCTGCTCCAGTATTCTTGCCTGGAAAATGCCATGGACAGAGGAGCCTGGAAGGCTACAGTCCATGGGGTTGCAAAGGGTCAGACACAACTGAGCGACTGAGTACACACAGGTGCTGATAGTATGCAGCAAAATACATTTGAGTGTGGTCTGATTTTGTTAGTGGTTAGTCCACTGTTGAATATTCTCATATTCTTATGAACTTGAGTCTCTGGGCAATTTGGTTTACTGCAAAGGCTGGGTAATATACACTTGGAACAAGGATCACCTCACCTACCACTCTGCATCCACAGGGTTTTGGTCCCCTCCACCTTTCCCTCTTCCTAGTGCCTGGAATTCTGTGGCTATCTACCATTATACCAACACTGCATCTCTGAAGTCCAGAAATCGGTCTCACTGAAGGCTCTTACATGAACTTCAGAGTCCACTTGGGTCTGTCTCAATTTTAACACATGAAACTTCTCGGGACATTAAAGGTTTATAATTTTGGTCAGAATTGTAGCTCCAAGTTAAATATGCATTTCTAACAGCAAATAATAAGGTCTTAGTAAATTTCTAAAATCATCTGGTAACGTCTATGTCTTTTTACATATCTCAACAGTAATAGAATTATCAATGCTGAAACTCCAACTTTTTTAGTGAGGATATAAACACAGTATAAACACATAAATTAAGAAAAGAGTTGTTGCGTACTTATGTTCAAACAGTTATCTATCCACTTAGTCATGTTTAATACTTTGTTTTTTAATTTAAAATTTTGAAAACTTAGCTTAGTCCTAAGAATGAAGTATTTTCTGGCTATGATCACTTCAAATCATTACCAGAAAGTGAGTTGAGCAATATTTTCACTCTATAATTTAAAACTCTGACTTTTCAATAAAATATCATCTAAAACACGTATGCTATTGGATAGCATACTCTTGAAACATGTGCAAAATAAACAATCATTTATTTTCCTATTTGCTGTTTTAAAACAATTTTATTGGATTGAGGGTGTAGGTTTCAGAATGTAATATTGTTTGCCAAATTCTGTAATCCTTTTTTTTTCTTTTTAATGTCTCACAGGGTGTGGTGCCTTTAGAAAATGTTTTAAAAGTTGTCGTTCTTGGTGTGTTTTTCCTTCACTTTTTCAAAAATAGTAAGAAAATCTAAACCCCACAGGGAAGTTCTGGTTCCTACTATTGACTCCTGGACTCCACTTTTCTAAAAATAAGATTATTCTATGTAGCCAACTTTTGTTTATTTCCTTGCCAGGAGTATTTATGTTCTTAACACTGTAGGTTCATTATTAGAAATGAAGTCTTGGTAAGTACTATCTTAACGTTTATTATTATTATTTTTTGTTAGAATGGTGAAAATAATGTAGGAGGAACATCTAAAAGGAGGCATCCAAATTCAGTTATGTCCCTTTTGTGGGGACCTAGTTATTGAAAAACCTCAGTGAATCCATTCCGTTCTTGTTTTTCTTTTATTAATCCATGATTATTGAGAAGCACTTAACAAAATAAATATTTAATATTATTTTTAATTAAAATTAATTAAAAGAAATAAAGGAAAGTCTTGATTCTATAAGACTGCAGTTGTTCTTAGAAAAACAAATTCTCTGTAAATCTTAACTAATTAATAGTAACAGAAAAAGACATTGTTGGAAAATACCTTTTTAAAAAAGAGAGAGATGCCAGCAAAGAAATACTATTTTCAAAATATAACAGGGGATAGTGAGAACTGATTATCCGGATTTTGTCTTATATTTGGCACAATAATGACAATTCAGTCACAAATCGCATGGCTGAAAACTCGTTTCTAACTCCTAATCCCCCTCCCAAATAGAAACTATCTCCCTATTCTCACACACCAGTAAATACAGAATCTACTGACACTGTACGTGTGTACAGAGGGGTGTGTGTGTGTGTGTGTGTGTGTGTGTGTGTGTAGGTATGCTTAAAGTAAGAGAATTAGGGTGGGAGTTAAAATATGATAGAATCCCTCTTTTATTTTCCCCTTTCTGTCCTTGGAGCTGGGTGTTTGAAGGAGGAACCCTACGTTTTCCAGCAACCAGCAAGCGTCAATACTTTTTATTTAAAAGCAACTAGAGAAAAACACCGCCTAAAGCAAACCAAGGCCACCCCACCCCACCCGCCCCCCATCATCTGTGGATCGAGGCACCAAGTCCCATTTGGGTACCACTTGGCAGGGGGTTCTCTTTCATCCTTCTCCTCACCGCCCCTGCCGGCGGGATGTGACCAGGACTGCGGGTCTCGGGGTGCCAGCGAGGAGCCGCCCGCCCGCCCCATGAGAGGAGGAGGCTCCGGCCTGGGAGCCGCCCCCTCTCGCCGCTGGAGAACAAACGGGATATTCAGCAGTGGCCTGTGGCTGCCAGAGCAACTCCTCAGGGGACATCCAGCGGCGAAGCAGACTGCACCATAATCGCCTCTAGAAAAGCGCCCCGGCCCCGCCTGCCGCGCACACCCAGGCACCTGGGCTGCCCCGCGGCGGCGCGTGTGAGCGAGCGGGAGAAGCCGGGGTGCGGGGCGCGCCGGGGCGGGAGCCCGGGCGGGTGCGGAGCGCGCGGTGCTCCGGTGTGCACGCCGGGGTGGGGCGAGTCTCGAGCGTCTCCACCAGCCATGAGGGGCGCGGGCGCCTGGGCCCCGCTCTGCCTGCTGCTGGTCGCCGCCGCCCAGCACTCGCGGCCGCAGCTCTCGGAGAGGTAACGCGACCCCCATCCGCACCCTTCCCCTCCTCCCTCCCTTCCCCTCGCCCGCTGCTTTGCTTTACCCAGTCCGCTTTGGGGCGCCGGGGGACCCACGCGCCACCAGGACACGAGACGGCGCCCGTCGTCGGGACTCCCTCCAGCGCCCCTAGTTTCGCCCGCTGGACGGCCCTGCAGCTGGCCAGCCACCACGTGGTAGGGGCTTAACCTGCCCTGGGTCTCCTCTGCCCGCAGCTTTATGAGGGTGCAAAGAAGCACTGGGGCCCAAATATGTGAACTTTGGTTTACTTCTGTTTTCTTCCCCAAGAGGCTTTGCCCAGAGGCTTAAGCCTACGGAAAAGCCCGAGTTGCCCGGCGCCCGGAGCAGCTCTCGGAAAGTTAACTCTTCACCAACCTCTGAGCTGCCGGATGGCTCTAGGACCTGGGCAGGGGGACTCGTTCTATGGCCAACTGTGGCATCTCCTTTTCCACCTCCATCACCATCAACCTACCTTTTCAGTGGGAGGCTCTGCCAATGGCCAACGATTTTCCAAAACGGGAAGAATTAGGCATCTCTCTTAATCTAGGAAATTAAAACTTTCCCACATTAACTAATTACTTGTCTGTCTTTAAAACCAAGCACTTCACAGAGCCTAGCTCTCACCCTTTCTCTCTCACTCCCCCCAGTTACATTTTCTATTTACCATTTTCCAGTGACATCTTATCACTTAATAAGGACTTGATTGCATATGGATGGTGGATGGATGGATGGATAGATCGGTAGATTGATCTTGTTATTATGGTGTTACTATGGGGGAGATAGTTGTAGCTGGACTGAATGTTTTATTAGGCTATAATTTAAATATTCTAAGAGCTAGTAAGTATTTCAAATTCCCTATATGATCCAGACACTTAATAGTCAGTATTCATTTTATCCCTATTAATAAACTACATCTTTCTGAAATTGACAGTGAATTGTTAGGCTCTGTTTCAGAGTTCTTTTCCTCTCTTATTTTCCCAGACCTGTTTTCACATGTGGCGGCATTCTTACCGGAGAGTCTGGATTTATTGGCAGCGAAGGTTTTCCTGGAGTGTACCCTCCCAATAGCAAATGTACCTGGAAAATCACAGTAAGCAGTTTTTAAAAGAGAATTCTCCAAAAATGAATACTGGAAGCAGTGGAAGAGCTGCTGCTTTTTTTCTCTGGTGACAGAATTTGGGTTGGGGGTAAATGTCTGAAATAGTGAAGTGTTGGCTTTGCCTCAACTATTTGGGAGATTTTTAACAGAACTGGTGTTGTCCTGTGTTAACAATTAGGAAGGGCTCGAGATAATGCTTGGAGGGATAAATTCTTAAAGCAGATGTGTTTTCTGAAAACCCAGTTGGACTCAGCTGAATTTCATGGATTCAGAATGAAGGCTATTTTCAGGAAAAGGCCCCTTGTAAAGACTTTTAGGAGCTATTTACTGCTCCTGCATTTCATAAATGTCTCCCAGTGGTGGATAGAAAATCAAAGGTAGTACTCACCTCTGACTACTTTATATCCATTGGAGGGCGGTTAGGCAAAAGAAAAAGAAAAAACAAATCTTATTAATGTCTCTGACTTAAAACCACCCCTAAAGGGACTTCCAGGGTGGTCTAGTGGCTAAGACTCTGAGCTTCCAATGCAGAGGGCAAGGGTTTGATCCCTGGTGGGGGAAATTCCACATGCTACAACTAAAAGTTAGCATGCTGCAGCTAAAAAGAATCCCACAACACAGGATCCTGCATGCTGCAGCTAAGACCTGGCATAGACAAATAAATAAATATTTAAAAAATTAAATGATTGTTCTCACAAATGCATTTGGGGGGAATGGATATTTTTTTAAAACCACCACTAAAGGCAATCTAAACATAGAGAATAATGGTAACTTAGTGGGGAAAAGGGCTTCCCTTGTGGCTCAGCTGGTAAAGAATCTGCCTGCATTGTGGGAGACCAGGGTTCGTCCGGGGTTGGGAAGATTCCCTGGAGACAGGAAAGGCGTGAAGAATTCCATAGGCCATGGGGTTGAAAAAAGTCAGACAGGACTGAGCAACTTTTACTTTCACTTTCAGGGGGGAAAATGCCTAAATATCAAACAAAAACTAACAGAATGCCCAGGCTGGTTAGTAATAGCATAGATTAAGTTAAGTCAAGTTAAGAAGTCAGATTTAGAGACAGCTAGCTTAAAAAAAATAAGTCTGGATTTAGTCAATTAGACTAAGTCATCTTTCCAGTCAGCACAGTAGTGACTATTATCTTTTGTATTTTTTCATTTTAGGGAATTTGTTTAATAATTGAACACATTAGTTCACTGAAAGCTTCATTCAGTGTCAGCCATGAATTATGATTTTTTAAAGTAGACACCTCTTGTTGAGCACTTACTGTGTGCCAGAAGTTAACAGGCATAATTTTACCGAATCTCTGAAATCACTGTGAGAAAGTACTATTATTCCCATATTATAGATGAGGAAACTGAGGCCCAGAGCAGCAGTATAAATGTTCATGCTCAGTTGCTTCAATTGTGTCTGACTCAATTGTAGCCCTTCCAGGCTCCTCTGTTCATGGGGGTTCTCCAGCAAGAATACTGGAGTGGGTTGCTATGCCCTCCTCCAGGGGATCTTCCTGACCAAGTTATGAAACTTGGGTCTCTTGCATTACAGGTAGATTCTTTACTGCTGAGCCACCAGGGAAGCCCCTCGAAATATTGATATTAGCATAAATGTGAAATAAGGCTCTGAAACAAACATGTAACTTGGTTTTCACGTTATAGTTGTGTTTCAGTTGTAAGTAAATGGCTATGAGTTAAAAATGACCCAAGAAAATTAGGGACTGAGAGGCATCTTGTGCCTGACAAGTAGACTCTATGGTTAGCCCAGGGTTTTGGGTGTTAGGGGCATTGTTAGTGTTGGAGGGAGAGAGGAGGGTGTCCAGTGAAAGTTCTTGACAAACTAGAGTGCTCTAGAGAGCCCTGACTACCCCATTCTTACGTATGGGGGAGGGAAGTATTAATGGATGCTGCATATGGATACAATGCAAAGGTGAGGTAAGTGGGCTCACATTTCTTCACTCATAAGCTGTGTGATGGATTTATCTTCTTTAAACCTCAGGATTGTTGTAAAGACAACATAAGATGGTACATATAAAGCTCTTGGGCTGAGTGCCTGGGATGTAATAAGTGCTCACTAAATATTAGCCAACACTGTTACCCTTTGTTGCTGGTATTGACTCATCTTCCCTTCTGACCCGCAGGCAATGTGGCAGATTACGGCCACCTGCTTAGTATATTGGCTCAGCTGGGCTTGGCATCAGCTTAAAGCAGCTCATCTTTGATGGAACAATCAATGTTGTCATGTACCTTTAGGAAATTTTTGTACTTCAGTTCTCCTGTAATCTTGTTGGGGAGATTCTATGTGAGTTAGGACTAGGTCAGCTCCCAGTTAAAGGGATCCAAAGAAACAGTGGCTCAACCAGAAGCTTGGGTTTCCCTGGTTGCTCAGTGGTAAAGAATCTGCCTGTCAATGCAGGAGACACAGGTTCGATCCTTGGGTTAGGAAGATCCCCTAGAGAAGGGAATGGCAACCCACTCCGGTATTCTTGTCTGGGAAATCCCGTGGACAGAGGAGCCTGGTGTGCTATAGTCCATGGGATTGCAAAGAGTCGGACACAACTTAGCAACTAGAGCAACAACAAAACCAGAAGCTTGGTTCTCTCTTACATGAAAGGATCTGTAGATAGACAATCCAGAATTGGTGTGGCTGCTTCAAATCATTAGTAACTCAGTATCCACTCAGATGTGTGCTCAAGTTCCAGCCATCAGGTAGGTACATGGTCTAGCCAGCAAAAAGGAAGAGAAGAAGGGCACAGATCCTCCCTTTAAGGACATTGTGCAGAATTACATGCACCTCGCTGTTCACATCCCATTTGCCAGTTATTAATTACATGGCCCCTTCTAGGTGCAAGGAAGCCCTGAAATGAAGGTTTCATGTCAGGAGTCTGTGTGCTCTGCTAAAATCCAGAAGTCGTCTTTTGAATAAACGTCTTCTATCAACTGTGGAAAGAAGGGAAAACAAGCAGACGACAGGCAGTCTCTGTGACATATTTATTTGTGGTTTGCCTAGGCTGCCCGAACTAATGTTCAAAAGTTGAGTAACAAATGCCAGCCTTTTTAGAAAAATATGTATTTTTAGAAAGCATAGGTAATATACAAGAAAGGATGGCACAGTTTGTTTTTCTAGTGAAAAGCTTTATATTTTTCACTCTTAGCTGGTTGATTCTATTTCAAGCAGCTGCCACTTGTATGTTTGCATGTGAGTAGTGCCAAGAACTTCCAGAGGAGCCCAGCACATTCTCCTGGTTATAATTGTACCCTCAGCAGAATGTTCACAAAGGCCGTGGATGCTTTCAAAGTTATAGTTTGATGGTATCTTCTTTTCTTCATATTTCACAAGGAAAATAACTGCATCATTGGTAAAAATCTTTATAGTTCTTCCTCATGGTTGTCTCGTGTGTCAGAGTAGCTAAAAGGAGCTCCCTAGCTTCTGTGTATCCCTGGGTTGATAAAAGAAGGAGAACTGTGGTTGGGCTACAGTTTGTAGAAGCTTGTAGCCCTAAGGTCTATTATTCATTCAACAAATATATGTTGGGTCTTGGATATCACTGGAGTTATGGTGAACAAGCTCCTTGCCCTCATACAGCTAGCTAGCATCCTAGTTTGGAGAGATGAGGCAATTAATGTTTAAACAAACAAGTAAATAAGAAAATATTAAGTAGTGATGAATGAATTATAAAAATAAAGTGGATACTACTTCATACCCATTAGGATGGCTACTATAAAAAATAGAAAATAGCAAGTGTTGGCAAAGAAGTGGAGACATTGGAACCCTTGTGCATTGCTGGTAGGAATGTAAAATTATGCAGCTGCTGTGGAAAACAATGGGACACTTTCTCAAGAAATTAAGCATAGAATTATCGTATTACCCAGAAATTCCCCATCAGGGTGTATACCAAAAGGAAGTGAAAGCTGGAATTTGAACAGATATTTATATGTTCTTGGCCACGTTATTCACAATAGCCAAAAGGTAGAAGCAACCCAGGTATCTATCTACAGATGAATGGACAAACAAAATGTGGTATACAGAGGAATATTATTCAGCTTTAAATATTAAAGAAATTCTGACACATGCTACAACATGGATAAACCTTGAAGACGTTATGCTAAGTGAAATAAGCCAGTCACAAAAGAACAAATATTGTATGGTTCTTTTAACATGGGGGCACCAAGAGTAGTCAGAGAAAGGAAGTAGAATGGTAGTCTTCTCAGGCTGGGGAGTAGAGGAAAGGAGTTAGTATTTAATGTATATAGAGGTTCAGTTGGGAGGGATGAGAAGGTTCTGGAGATGGATGTTGGTGATACCACAGTGTGAGTGTACTTAATGCTACTGACCTGTACACTTACAATAATGGCGAAAATAGGTACATTTTATGTTATGTATATTTTACCAAGATAAAAAATATTTTTGAAATAAAATAAGGGAATTTCCTCATGGCTCAGTGGTTAGGATGCTACACTTCCATTGCCGAGGGTGCAGGTTCAGCCCCTGGTCAGGGAAATAAGATTCTGCAAGCTGCATGGTACAGTCAAAAAATAATAATAATAATTAAAATAAAACAGAGGAGTGGAGTATTAGATAATAATTGTATAATTCACTTACATGAAATATTCAGAAAAGGCAAATCCATAGAGACAAAGAGTATTATCTATCAGTGTTTGCCTGTGGCAGGGGATAGGTAGGTATGGGGATTAACAGTTAATGGTCATGAGGGATCTCAAGAAGGTGGAAATAGTCTAAAATTGACCTAAGGTGGTGGTTGTGCAACTTGGTATTTTCACTGAAAGTGCACTTAAAATGGGTGAGTTTTATAATATGTTAATATTCCTCAAGAAATTTGTGAAACAACTAAACAGACATAACCTAGTGGTGGAATAGCAGGAGCAATGAATGAGGTGATCAGGAAAGGCCACTTTGAGGAGGTGGCATTTGAATTGAGGCCTGAGTGATAAGCAGCCAGCCATGTGAAGGTCTGGGGAAGAGCATTTTAGGCAGAGGG